CCCAGCTGTGAGCCTTCCAACCTTCTAAGTATTCCTTTATATGTGGTTCAGAGTTCTGGGACCATCCCCTGAGCCTGCTTGGTTGGGTATTCTGTGTTGTTGTTGGCGGACCTCTCTGCTATACGTCCACCCGATCTGCCATCTTGTTTGTTCTCCCTCAGGATTCTTTCTTTCAATATTATCATCTTTTAAGAACTATTTACATGGGGTCATACTGACAACAGCAACTACAAAGATTAGATAAGAACTTTAGGGGGCAGTGAGTTTATGTTAATATGGAAGAAAAAGCTTCAAAAAAGAGGATGAGAATGATTACACAACTGGAAGAAAATAATCAATGTTACTGAATTTATATGTACAGAGGGTTGAATTGTGCATGCTTTGCTGTGTGTGTTCTCAACAACAACCAGAGAATAATAAAAAAATAATAAAATGAGCAATAATAAACTCTTTATATGTTATGTTGGCTTGGACTCTCCAAGAAACAGATTCTAAAATGAGATATGGATGTATAGTCCTTTATTCTGTGAAAGTTATAGAAGAAAGGGGAGAGTGTGCTATCACCTCAGTGCAATTCTAATATGTGTGAAAGGGAGGAGAGAGGGAAGGGTTGGATAGGAAGAGTCTCAGACCATGGTGCTGTTCTGGAAGTCAGTTGAAAACCACCAGGCAAAGGTTGCTTGGTGAAAGAGTCACACTGAAGGAACATCACACCAGGCATGAATGTGACTGATGCTAGTACTTTTATCTTGCTCAGCCTTGGGCAAGCATGGCCTCAGGTCTGATTTGGTGGTAGCTGTGGCTGTCAGTCAACTATACTCTTCCCAGAAGGTTTTCCTGATTATCTGAGTGGCCTACTTCCATGACTACCACACATTCACATAAATAACATTTAAAAAAAAAAAAGAAAAGTAATTGTATTTTGCAAAGCAAAAAATCATGAAAAGAGTAGTGGCATTGCTGTATAGTTTTATGAGTTTCTTTAATATCTAGCTTAATAAAAGACAGCTGGATTCTCATGTTTAGTTCTGCAATCAATTGTGATTTGTTGTTTTGTTTGAAGTACATGAAGAAATTCTGGCCTTACATAAATTGTAGTTGGAAAATAAAAGAACATTTTAAAAACTTTTTCATATAATTTCAGTATTACTCTTTGACACAATACCAAAACTTGACAACTGGTAGTTTCTACGTGGTTGGTTGCATTATGGAATCTGAAATTATATCAGTGAATTTTTCTTAATATATTGAAATCCATTTTTGTCTTTCTTGCACTTCGAGTAGATCTTTTGCCCATGTGTTTTGTATCATGCATTAGTCATTTGGAAAATGCTGTGTTGCACATCTTTAAAATGTTGACATATTTCATTATACAGTATGAGAAATTCATGTTCTGTCTCATTAGAAAAGCCCTGTCTAAGTATGGGGAGGCTGTTAAGTCCACAGTGTTTGATACAAGTTTAACAAAATTTAAATTTTTTCATGAAAATTAGAATTTCATAATCGACACAATACTTAAAGAAAATATTTTCCAAATAGCCCAAGTCTGAATATCAATAGTTTTTCTGCCAGTTTATCTCTCAAATATGTATGAAAAAAGTGCCTAGTTCAGTTTGTATCACAATCACATACATGTTTTTCTTAAGACAACCATTGCATTTTGGTATGTAGCAGAAATGTGTTCTCAGTGTGTTACACAGATTATAAAAAGATGTGTATAGGGAGTTATATTTACTAAAATTAGTATTTTTTACAGCTCATCAAGATCAGGGGCACTGGATTTTTTTGTTTTCTACCTGAGAGTGTGTGGTTGTGAAGAATGACAGCTAGTACAGTTATGTTATTCCTTTGATTCACAGTAAGATGCTAACACTTTTACCCCTCATTGCTTTTATACCATCAGTGCAAATGTTCGCATGGTGACAAATAATATCCTCATAATAAGATAAGAATAGATAGCTTTGACCTTGTAAACGCCCTGAAAATTTCATGAGGACCTTCCTTTGAGAATTGTTGATGTAGGCCATGACTTTTCGCATTTTAAATAAATACAATGTGGTTTAACAAACTCAATTTTAAAGAAACAAAAACCTTGAGAATAAAATGTTTCTAAATTTATCTGTCTCATACAATTTGAGTTTATTGACAAATATGTTTTTATGTAGGTTTTCTCAGGAACTACAGTTGAAAGTACAGAAAGATGCGAGAAATGTTTCTTTATCTAAAAAATCCCAAAACAGGAAGAAGGAAATGGAAAAAGATAATTCTTTAGGTGAAGAAAGAAAGACACTTATGGTTCAGGTAAATGTCTGTGTATTAAATTTTATTATGTTTTAATTTAACATACTGAATTGTCCTTAAAGAAGCCTCGGTGATGTCATGCATTAATGTTGGGCTGCTAACTGCAAGGTCAGTGGTTCAAACCCACTAACCACTCCATGGGAGAAAGATAAGGCTGTCTGCTCTTATAAAGATTGATAGTCTCAGAAACCCTAAAAGGAACAGTTCTACTCTGTCCTGTAGTCATGCTATGAGTGAGAATCCACTCGATGGCAGTGGGTTTGGTTTTTGGTTTTAATTATCACTTAAGTTTTCATTGTTGTTATTGTTTTGAAATTTTTTATTGTAAATTGAGTGAAGGTTTACAGATAAGATCATCAGCTATACAGTCGACAGATTATGTACTTTATTTCATTGCAGTGATTACAGTCCACTCCATTTGCAATCCCCAGCAGTAATCCCACTTCCTCCCTATGGTTCTTATTTTCATTCCATTCTCCTTTCCAACTCTTCTGAACTTTGTCCTTAGGTAAACGGTGTCTTTTTGATCTTGAATGGTTGGCTATTCCATGGTAAGCATATCTCACTAGTATCATTGTCTCACTATTTATTTATCCACCCCTTGGGTGAAAATTGGGCCACAAGGGTGAGTTCCATTCCATACCTAAAAAGTGGTTGAGAGCCATACTTTCAAGTTCCTTTAGTCCCTTTCTGACCAGTAAAATTGGTCTTTTTAAAAATGACTTTGAGTTTTATTCCACATTGCCTCCACAGTCTATATTATGAGCTCTCCTACTGTCATAGTTTTCAGAGCAGTTGATAGTGGTAGTTGGGCACCACCTAGTTAGTTCTTTTGACCTTAGAGTCATTCATACTAATGTTACTTTTTCCATTCATCCACTGAACTAATTGATTCCAAGCATCTTCAGTTTTCATCATTCTTCTTTCCTCTGCACATGGAGAGACAATTAGCCACACCTTAGCTAGCTACTCATGAGTTTTCCAGATCCCAATTGCTCATCACCAAAGTAGGATATAGAACATTGTCTTTGTGGAGTATGTTATGCCATTTGACCATGGTGTCCCTTAAAACTATGGTACTGAGATACCAGATCCAGCAACTTATTGCTTCAAGATGCTAGGTAATGTCCAAGAAATTTTTCATTATTTCATTCCCTGTATGCTTCTCCACATCTCAAGAATAGATTTGAGGAGTTGTTGGGGACTTTAGACACAGAGAGGGAGAGGGGTTGTGTGCTGATGACTGGGGTGCATGCTTGTAGTGTATTCCCTTTGGATGGTTGATGATGCATGGAGGGGATTGTAACCATAGCAATGAAATGATGTACTATAGGATTTATATAAAACTAATGCTCTCCCATGTAAACTATCACATAATTCACAATAAAACACTAAAAAAAAAAGTAACAGATTTGATACATTAGACACTAATGACCAAAGACCAGAAGAGTTGTGGGATGACATCAAGAACATTTTACCAGAAGAGAGCAAAAGGTCATTAAAACAATGAGAAAGAAGGAAAAGAAAGAAATGGCTATCATAAGAGACTCTGAAACTTGCTCTCTAGTGTAGAGATGCTAAAACAAATGGAAGAAATGAGGAGGTAAAAGAACTGAACGGACCATTGCAGAGGGCAGCTCCAGAAGACAAAATCAAGTATTAAAATGAAATGTGTAAAGGACTGGAGTTAGAAAACCTAAAGGGAAGAATACACTCAGCATTTCTCAAGCTGAAAGAATGGTTGATGGTCAGCCATTTCAAAAGGTAGTATATGACTAAGAACCAATAGTACTGATGGAAGAAGTCAAAGATTCATTGAAGACATTGGCAAAGAACAAGGCACTGGGAATTGATGGAATACAAATTGAAATCTTTCCACCAATGATGAAGCTCTGGAGACAGTCACTCATATATGCCAAGAAATTTAGAAGACAACTACCTGGCCAACTGACTGGAAGAGATCCCTTTCCAAAGAGAGGTGTTTTTTGTGTCCATTCCAAAGAGAGATGACCCAATGCAATGCAGAAATCATGGGACAATATCAATATCACATGCAAGTAGTATTTTTCTAAAGGTAATTTTAAAATGTCTGTAACAGTACACAGACAGGAAACTACCAGAGGTTCAAGCCAGATTCTGATGAGCACATGAAACAAGGGATATCATTTCGGATGTCAGCTAGATATTGGCTGAAAGCAAGAATTAACAGAAAGATGTTTACTTGTGCTTTATTGACTCTACAAAGGCTTTCGTCTATGTGGATCATGACTAGCTATGGACAACATTGTGGAATGTGAATATTCCAGAACATATAATTATGCTCTTGAGGAATCTGTGTGTAGACCAAGAGGCAGTTTTCTGAATAGAACAATGAATGGTTTAAAATCAGGAAAAATATGTGCCAGAGTTGTATTTTTTCACCATTTTTATTCAATCTATATACCAAGCAAATAATTCAAGAAGCTGGATTATAGAATGTGGTATAAGGATTGGAGGAAGATTCATGAACAACCTGTGATATGCAGATGATACAACTTTGCTGCTGAAAGTGAAGAGGACTTAAAATACTTACTGATGAAGATCAAAGACCACAGTCTTCAGTATGGGGTGCACCTCATTATAAAGAAAACAAAAATCCTCACCACGGGACCAATAAAAAACATCATGATTAATGGAAAGAAGATTGAAGTGGCCAACTCATTTTGCTGGAATTCCCCTCTCAACACTCATGGAAGCAGCAGTCAACAAATCAGATGACACCCAGGGAGGGAGAGGGGCTATGTGCTGATGACTGAGGGGCAGGCTTGTGGGGTGTA